TGTTGTTGCTTATAGCATAATTTGATGAACGTGTTCTGTTTTGAACTCCTGGGCCACAGAACGTGCTGCACGGTCCCCAGTYTGACCATTCTGCGGGCTTGGTAATATTACATGATGTGGTCTCGTGGAATGGACCAATGCAGTCTTTACCACCATTGAGMGGAGCTGGATTAGTACAATTGCGCGAACGGTATTTTTCCCCAATTCCACGAGATTCAGTGCAATTAGACCAATCGGACCATGTACTAAAGTTGCCATGTGCTGGAATGAGAATAAAGTAGATTAGAGTTCTCAATAGTCCGTAAAGAAACACGCAACCATGGATTTGTTAATCGCGGATTTTCAGACTGAGATCTCTAGCGCCATCTTTGGCTTGCACAATTCACTGGAAAAAATCGTTCWCTTTAAAGGGTTGTGAATTTGATGTAAATATTATGTAAGTGTCCAAAATGATGTAAATTTGATGCTTAAATTTGATGTAAATTTACATCAAATTTACATCATTTTGGATACTTACATAATATTTACATCAAATTTACAGCCTTTAAAGCGCGCGATTTTCCTCAGTGATTTTGTGCTTATTACGTTCATAAATACATTTACCTATGACAATGAAGAAGTCCGAGCTTCCCGATTGTCCGCCTCCTGTCCAATTTTGACAAAGATAAGAGTGTTCTGCCTGTTGGATGTCGTTATTATCTGGTCCTTTGTGGCATTGATACTTTGATTGGAGGACTGCGAAGGACGACCACCTAAGAAAGGTAAAATTTAAGGAAATACAGCAAGACTAACAGAATAGTCAGCACTTGCTGTGTAATATGCAAAACCTATATTCCTCTATTTTTTTAAGTATCTTTATATATTGGAAGTAAAAGAAAGGTACAGCCTTTTGCAAAAATTATGAGAATTGTTGAAATATCTAAATATCATAATATCAAGTGCATCATGATGGGTAATCCCGTGCGATGCCCTTAGTCCCTTGTCTTTGTAGTTTAGTTTTTTTTTTGGCGACGGACTTATCTGTAGTTCTGAACATTTTCTTGATGTCAACAATGAATTATTCTAGCAAACCCGCTTGTTCCGGACAATATAAGGATATGGATATTATGATATTTAGATATTTCAACAATTCTCATAATTTTTGCAAAAGGCTGTATATATGTGATAAACAGAATATTACATGCTCGCTTGGAGATACGAATGTTACCTTCTTGTGTTGAAAATCGCTACGCTCACTCGTGAGAGAATCTTTTTACTCGAAGATGAAATCCGCGAGCCCATGCATTTAATATCCTTTATTTATACCGTTTTATTATAATGTTGAAAGACAATAGAATTCAAACTCTTAAGAACGATGAAATGCTCGCTTAGTTGCAGCAATGATTGTTGGTGTGCGCGATACGAGACATCAACAAAAAGGAAACTACAATCATACCTTTCCATGACAGCCTTCTTTGAGCAAAATTCAAATCCATTCGTTTGTTTTGAACTGTACTTCTCACCTGGTAGGAATCTTTGACAAGGAAGAAAAAAATGAAATCGTGCGTTAGGCACATAGATGGAAGAAATTGAGTTGAAGTATGAGAACAAGTATATGCAAAAAGTGATACAAACTGTTTTATCGACGAAAAGCATCCTATTCGAACAACTGAAATGGAATTAGAATGAATGTAGAGAGTCATTTTAAAAAAAAGAATCAGACAGTATAGCAATGTCGCCGGTTGTCATTTTGTTTTATGTATACTGACAGAAAGCTTTCAAATATACCTTGGTGATTTTGTGTAACCCACTTGCTATGTTCTGAAAAAGGCAAAAGTGAGGTCTATATGTTACAGGATGTTTTGACTATAATTTTACAGCCAAAACTGTAACAGGTGAGAGCATAATTTTTGAAATTATGCAATCAATGAACATTCTAAAAATAAATAGACTGAAAGGAATAAGGAGTCTAAAAAATTACGACAAMAAATGGACCAAAAGGAATCAAAGGAAGAAATAGGAAGGGATTGATATCTAAATGAGAAAGAACTAAAGAATGGAAGGGAAATAGAAAGAATGGGATGCATGAATGCACAGCTAACAGGACAGAAAAATGAAATACGTGGTTATCAGAATGATTATAAAAAGGGAGAGGAAGTACTTATACCATTTCCACATCCATAAAACTCCATYCTCAGAGCAACAGTGTTATTCCATGTYAGTGGGTGCAGCCTTGMATACTTGGCTTGAACACGACTTGCAAAATATCGTCTTACAATAGAATCACTGTCAGTATTACCGAAGAATACCTRGGATAACAAGAGAAGCATTAACTCAGAAAAAAACATTAAATACTTTTTTGTACATTGCAGGTGCTAATGATCTAAGATTCAATTTTTGCAGCACCAGTGTAGCATATCAAAAATGTTAGCATTATATTCCAATCTTTCAGGAGGAGCCGACGGGAGTCTGTTTTTCCAAATAACTTTTCTTGTACTATTGTTTTCCTGGGAAAGGGATTTTGAGCTACAACATTGTTGACAACCTCACACGCAAATGTGACGCCCTTTCATCTTTATAATGGCTTATACACCCTTTTAATAAGTCCCGAGGTATTGTGTTCTCCGCACTTGACGTCAAATTTATTCTTTTTGAAATTTTAACAATACAAAAGGAATTCAAAAGAATAAATGTGACGTCAAGTGCGGAGAACACAATACCTCGGGACTTATTAAAAGGGTGTATAAAAGGCTTATATAGCAACGTTTATATGGTCAAAGTTTTATTTTCCTGGAAAACATTCTTGGAAAGTATTCTTGCCTGGAGAGAGTTCTTTTTTTCCTAAATTTCTCGCTGGCAACCAGCTTAAAGCTTGCTGCGACATAAAAACAGACATATTTCTCCCAGTAACCTGTTTGCTCCTCCTAATCTTTCAGTTATTGGAAAATATAATATCAAGCCTATTTTATTCATAGAAGAAATTATAACCCCAAAGCGTGTTCCCCTCCGCTCTTACTGCATTAAATTCAGTACACGGARCACGCGTCCAATCTCGACGTCAAATCTCATATTTTGATATACAATTRAAATATACAACCGTATGATAATCCCACGACTATTAATTCCAGCACAGTGTACGTGAGATTTAGTGCTGGAGAAAGACAATTAACATGGCCTACTTAGTGCGCTTTCCATTTGTCAGAACTGGCTGGCCAGACCCAGAGAAATGTCATTATATATCATTCCCATTTAGTTAGGAAATTCAAATTTTCAAATTCTATCCATTATTCTATAGAAAACCTCGAAATGACTGAAAAATCTTGACAAAAAGCATTATATACCTCTAAATAGAGTGGACTGGCCGGGCAGTTCTGCCTAAATGGAAAGCACCCTTAATTGTTGAGTCATTACCCTTGTATTCTCATTTTCGACATATTTTGTAAACACGCCATCGTCTTCCGCAAAGGCCAAAATATAGCTTTTAACAAATGAATTTCCATCAACTAAAAGTGACGTAGAACCTGCGCCCTGTGTAGCCACGCCTGTAAGGTTCAATAATTTTCCCAAGTCGACCTTAAAATCGAAAGCAAAATAATTTAGGCGGTCRGCACACATCGATTGTAAAGCACTTGGGCTTTTTCATTATTTGCTACTAACCTGAAGCCATGGATTGGGGTCGGTTTCCAGAGGGCTCCAAAACGGACGGCGAGAATTTACAAAATGCAGACGTCCTTGCCAGGGCTCAAAGTAAATGGTCATGGAAGAGCTTAGCGATATGTTGACAGATGTGCCTGGTTCGCCTATTCTTAACGCTTGATCACAACCTTATCGAGGTTAAACCAATATTGAGATGCAAACATTGAAAGACAAAAACAAAGAACAAACACAAATAAAAACAAAGCAAAACAAACGGGAAAAAAAGACAAAAAGGGAAAAAAATCACTGAGAAAAAAAATGCACATAGCATCCTATGCAGCTTTTTTACCCAAATTTCTTCTTAATAAWCTGCAACCATACAACTCTAGTCTTAGTGCAATAGCTTTTACCCACGATACCGGCAACARACGAATAGTGTTTGCTGTTATGATTGGCTGAAGCATATTCTTAACTGTACGYCTGTCTGCGGAATTTCCAATGAATATCTGAAAATCGTGTAAAAAATGAGTTGGAGGTTTTATAAAGTCACACGGCGCACGAGGAAGAAGACGATGAAATTCCACATTTCTACTCACCGTACTGGTATTTTGCCCTATTTCCTTGTGCGTCTTAAAAGATTGTCCATCCATTTTGTATTTCAGCATAAAAGAAGAGATCCATTCCATGTCCAGGTCATTTCCTTCGGTTTTTATCGCAGCTATATTATGCAGCGAACTGAAGTGAATTTYAATCCACTGATATGTGTTCTGATACCTTGGTTTCCAAACGTATGGGCTTTGAGACAAACCAACAGATTTCCAGGAAAAATGTACGGGCCTTCGAACAGATGAGGCTTTAAATGATGGTATGAGAAATGCTCCATCTTCAATTCCAGCTGAGACATTGCATTTCTCTCTTCTTTTCACGGAAYCTATAACAGAATATAAATCCTCTTCGATGAAATCATGAAAATGCTATCTGGACTACATTTTTGTACAGTAGTCTTACCTGTGTATGCGTTACCGCAACCGTAGAATTCAACTTTTAGGGATATTTTTGTCTGCCAGTGCACAATTTTGATAAACTGAGCAAAGATCGAAGGCACCAGGTGATGTTTTGTGATCATATTTCCATTTTCGTTTCCTTTGAACACCTTTAAAGAGCATTGATAATTACATTAGCATTTTTCAGCCCCAGCTATAAAGGAAGCTATGCCTGTGCATCAAGACGTGACGATATCAACCAATCTCAAGCTAAAATCTTGGACATAAATGCTTGACAATTTTTCGCTTGGTATTACAAATACTGTATCGCGTGCATAAACTGAAAATATTCCCCTCCCCTCCCTCCCATCCCTCCCCTCCCCTTCCCTTGCTCCTCCTGCATGAATGAAAAGGATGGATGGACAGCCAATGAAAAGAAAGCCACACAACATTGTATTGGGGGAAGGGGGGACACGAGGAAAGTTTTATCGACGAATAGTGTGAGAAATTCGTGCGTGCGTAAAAATTGTCAACATTCATATCCGAGATTGTGTAGCTGGTCGTTGTTCTCTTTTTGATTCACAACGTCCGTAAAATTTTAAGGCGGTGCAGGGGACTCTTTAGGCTCGATTTCAAATCCCGCTTAAATTAATTCTTCTTCCTTGCAAAAATAGGTCCTTAACTTACCATTATAGATGCTCCAGTCGAGTAGTTTTTTGGCCTATCATCCCTATTCATGCGATATWCTAGTTGGTAAGACTCAAGCTTATACGAATCTTTAAAATATGAAAAATGGAATTATCATTTTATTTGGCCATTTTTAAAAAGATTTACATGTAATGCTTTGGCCTAAGGTCATAAAAACACAGAGGGAAGTGGGATGTTCAACGCCCGATTATCGTTTGTCCGAGGTTAATTCTCTACTAGGTATTTTTTAAGACTAAGTTAACCCAGAATTATCGTTAATCGAGCTTTGAACAGCATAGCCCTGTACGTGAATATACACTGCGAACAGTTTATCTTCTTCTTTTACTAAACAAGTTATTCTTTGACGACTATGGTAATAACGATGAAAATTATTATTACTCACTGGTTCTCACTGCCGATGTTAACTTACTTTGTGTCGTTCCCATCGTTGCGATTCCTGTAATGTTTGAAGGAAGCCCAAAGTCTACCTGCAGCCATTTCTGAGTTGTTTCAAATGTAGGGAACCAAGCTCTCGAGGCGATGTTACTTGTATCAAGTCTAACGTCTTTCAGGCGACTATCATTCTTGGCATTAGATTTTAAGGCCCAAGCAGGAATAAATCCTGATCCGAGACCCATTGGAGAATTGCACAGTGGATAATCTAGATAATAAAGTTTTTTTTAAAGTAGAGAGATGCGGATTTTCGGATGGCTATATACTAATCAAAGAAAACAACGATTATCATTATGATG